GAGCAGTGGAGGACAGGGGGTCTTGGACATGTCTCATCTTTAGAGTCGCCATAAGTCGAGATCGACTTGAGGGCAGTTAACAACAACAATAGGACTGGAAAACACCCAGAATACCCACCTAAAGTATCCCAAAGTGTATTGTATCTTGTAAACTCATTGATCCCCACAACTTATTAAAACACACAAAATTTAGCCTCAAATGACAGAAATTGAAACTGAAACTAGACTAGTCACATCAGCGTTAGATTTTGGGCAAATTGTCAACTGAAAATTCTCTGTAGTGACCTGCCACCAAAGCAAAAATAGGTCTCTACTTCAATTGTTCACCTCTGTTATATACACTCGTCCCTTGCCATTTGCAGACTTGCCATTCATGTCCCTTGGTCTTTCATGGAAGGCAAGCACCAGGGGAGAAAATGGCACAAGCATTATATCCTATGGGACTTCAGTATTTGCTGTATTTCCAATTTGTGGGGGCCAGTTTTCTGGAACGAACCCCCGTGAATCAGGAGGGACGAGTGTATAGTGCTGTAGCTTTTAGTGCTCCACAGATTCAAAATCTACTCCATAGCTCAGGGGTAGGCAACCTTTTTGAGCCGGGGGCCGGGTTGCTGTCCCTCAGACAATTGGGGGCCCGAAGCACCATAAATAAATAAATAAATAAATAAATAAATAAACAAACAAACCTATTTTTTTTAAAAAAATAAAAAATTAAAAAATATGCATGCATACTCTCTCAGCCCCAGAAAAGCCAAGGCAAAACCCCTGTGGAGATTTTGCGAAGAAAAGCCCAAGAACAAGTAATAACAACAATAACCAATATCATCATGGTGGGGGGCGGCGGTGGTGGCAGCAGGCCTGGGGCCGGTCCAAAGGCCTCGGGGGGCGCATCTGGCCCCTGGGCCTTAGGTTGCCTACCCCTGCCATAGCTTCAAAAGACAGTAGACTTTATATCATCACTAGGCTTATTTGTTAACACTAAATGCTTTTTTGTTTTCTTTCATAAGTTGAAAGGTAAAGCTATTAAAATGGAATAATTCAATAATCTTTGTAGCTGTCTTGTAAATTTATAGAATTTTAAGAAGTCGTTAGAAAATGTGTACTCTGTTTTTCACTATGAGAATCCAAGCATATTGGTTATATCCCTCCGACATGTAAAAACATACTATAACTGAAAGCTGTCTTGACAAAATTAGCTGCTTTATGGAGCTGGAGAAATGGTGCTTTACTGATCTTCTTAGTAAGGAAGCTCCAGCAGTGTCAGTGCAGTTGTGAAGGCTATTAAGTTTTGGTATACAAAAGAGCAGTTGGTATAAGACCTGAGCCATGGTTAGAGAAAAATTTACAGGAAAACTGAAAAAGGATTATGAAACTACTCCAACAGGACTTTAATGAGACTGGGAAGTTAAATGACATTGAGAAGTTCACAGTGCCATGCAGCTGGCAAGATAGCCTTATGAATTGTCACTTTACAACTCTGTACAATCTGACATGTTTATATGCTAATAAAGTTAGACTCCTGCCTCCTTCAACTCCACTTTGAAGAAAAGTAATTATTGATATCAACCTGCAGCTTAAGTGCCAAGAGCATTTCTGTAGCAATTGGAGTTATGCCTGTTACCTTTGCATCTTATGCTGTAAATTAGTTCTGATTTTAGATATTAATGTCTGGTATGTAGGTGTTGGGATTGGGAATAGGATTAATTGAATATGAACAATAGTGGTTTGGGACTTCACTAAGTTCAGAATATACATTTGACCTTTAACTTTTTAGATGTAATCAAGGCTTCCAAGTAGTTGTATTCAGAGACATAGCTATGGTACTTTGGAATATCAGTGTGCAAAGAAATATTGTACCACTTTTGAGACTAACTATGTAAAAGAAGTTGTAGCATAAGCTTTCATAGACTTGGTTGCATTTGAAGAAGTAGACCAAGTCTACAAAGCTCATGCTACAATTTCTTTTGTACAGTTAGTCTCAAAGATGCTGCAAGATCTCTTTGCAAAGTAGTGCATACCAGATTTATTGAATATGTGGAGAGATCTTGTAGCATCTTTGAGACTTACTGAAATAAAGAAGTTGGCAGCATGAGCTTTTGTAGACTGCCAACTTCTTTATTTCAATTAGTGTCAAAGCTGCTATAAGATCTCTCTACATACTGATTCTACAGACTAACACGGCTATATCTTTGAATATTTATTGCGAAACTATTAAATTTACAAGTAGAATTTATATGTTTAAATATAGAAGGAAAATGTTGTTTTAGCACTCTAGTAGTGTATTGTTAGTAATATATTCTTGTTAGCCATGGGTTAGAAGAACTGAACAGGTAAACCTCACAGTTACAAATATTACCCAAGTCTCTTTCTGAAGATGGTATTTTGCTGGGGCAGCTTCCTTCAGTTAGCCTTGTAAAGAGGAAATAGTGTATGAACAAAAAACAAAACAATGATCTTATGAAACATCTGATAAGAACAGCATTTATGTTACACAGTATATTTTATTCACATTCTAATTTTAAATATGCAAAG